GTCTTTATACAGAATGTTTAATGCTGCTCAGAGGTGGCATAAATGCATTTGCACAGCAATCACAACTATGTTTTGATAGTAAGGGGCTGAGGTGGATCTGAGAAGGCAAAATTTAGTCTAGCTTTAATGTGGCATTGCATCTTTATGCTGAATTTTAAGCAGGCTCACAGCAGCATTAAACAGACTGTGCAAAGACTAAATGGCAATTCAGAAGCGCTTTTGTGCCACCTTTGCTGTGTAAATTTGGTGAGAGCCTTATTTTAGTAAAATATTAGACAGCATTGGCGTTTTTATTCTTAACTTAAAATTTTCGTTAATTGAAAAAGCTGAAAAATGAAATATTTAAAAAGAGTAAAGCAAAAAACATTATCTTAAAACTTAAACTGCTGTTATTTCAGTTGGCAAGGACATATTTCTAATTTACATTTAAAGTACTAATTTACTAAAACTGATATAAAATAATTTAAAACTGTATAAAAATGCCAAAAGTACAAAAAAAATGGCTAAAACCTTATCAAACATTGAAGTAAATGCTGAAAATATAAAAATGTAATTCTAAATATAAATAAATACTGCAAAAGTATATAAATGCAGTGCCCCGCAGGTCCTTAAAAAGTCTTAAAATTTAGTTTTATTTATTTAGAAATTATTTTATTTTTTTATTTAAGGTTATAAAAAGTATATAAAAGAAATATAACAAAGCATAACAGAATTCTTAATTATCGTTGTAAGTGGTCTTACATTTTGGGGTGGGACAGGAATTGTGACAATGTGATTGTTAAACTTCAAAAGCTTGTGATATAATGAAATAAATGTGATAAAAAGACCAAACAACCAATACTGGTCCACCTCTTATTTGTATTGATATTGATACAAAAACAATTTCAAAACATGTATTTACTGAATAAAACGTGTAGAGTATTGTCAGACTAACTTGCACCCTGTTTTGCTGATTAGCAGTAATAAGTAATTGAATGTGTGCCGCAACCTGCTTAATTAAGTGAAACAATCCACATGATTTATTTACAGATTGTTTAGAGTTTACTGAGGTGAGTTAATTATAAGCATGAACTTCCTATAATTCCATGCAGGTTCTTTGGCATCTCGATATCTTCAGACGGAGTCTTCGTCAGCTTCCAAACCACTACTGCTTGGGCGACTCCTGCATCTTTTGCGCTTTGAAGGTATTCTCATGACCAAACACATCATGACACAGTATTTAATACTTCCTTTAAAAAGATGTTTTAAAGTCAAAAGTTTGAAAGCACTTCATGTTCGTTTTGCAGGGAATATTCTGTCAGTTCCAGCACAGCCGAGAGCGAGCGTTACCCTCAGATAACCTGCGTAATGCCCTAGCCGAAACCTTTAAGGATGAGCAGCGCTTTCAGTTAGGCTTCATGGATGATGCTGCGGAGTGCTTCGTAAGTGTCTTTTTTGTATTTTTGTGTATTTTAGATTATAAAAATGTGTGTAAAATTTTATATATTTGTTATTATTTATTTTATTTTTAGTTATTCAGGTGGGTAATATAGCTGCAAAATGATTTTATGTTTAAATGTGTGTGTGTATATATGTGTATATATATATACAGGTGCATCTCAATAAATTAGAA